ATTTCGAAGATCCAGCTTGATAACATGACCAGAGATGTTGCTGCAGCCAACTCCTTCCCACGCACAACAGTCCTCGCCGACCCAGGAAGAGAGACGATTGGAAGGATCATGAAGTCCACGCTTGAAGTCGATGAGGGCTTTCCTCTCCGTCTCTCGGCAGCCATGAGAAATCCCAAGCTCAATGCTAAGAACAGTAAGAGAAAAGGTGAGGACAAGAAGAGTTCTCCCACCCATGTTTGATAGTGAGTTCTACCTCAGCTCTCGTGTGTGTGTGTCCAAGCTTATATAAGCTCTCATGTGTGTCCAACAAAATTGTCACTAGTCAAATTCAAGCAACATGGGAACAAGTTAAAGGAGAAAGTCGAACGTTCCACACGAAGATGTGTCCAACAAAATTGTCACTAGTCAAAGTCAATTTATAGGTAAATAAGTCAATGTCCAAAACAAATTGAAAACTCACTTATGGTGGAGGCTTTTTCATTGCTTAATTTTCACCATAGGTCATTCCGGATCATAAATATAGACATCCAACAATATGATAGAAGATTGATGGTGGAAATCAAAAGTCCTCATTCCCTTCAATTGTCAATGTAGCATGAAATTTATGGAAAAAAAAGATGAGAGAGACAGAATGACATGTTTCATGAAAGAAAACTATTATTAAGAATGGAATCAAAGAAAAATGCTATCAAAATCCTTATCATTTACTTGACCCAATTAATAATTTAGCTACTTTTTGAAAAAGGTAACCAATCAATAAAAAAAAAGTCACTAAAAATTATTCTAGTTTACTTGATCCAATAATAATTTGGTTACTTTTTGAAAAAAAAGTAACCAATGAATAAAAAAATAAAAAATATTATTATTTACTTGACCTGATAATTATTATATTTAGTCTTCCAAAAGAGTGGAGGAATTTGTCAATAAAAATTGACCTGATAATTATTTGTTTAATCTTTTAAAGGAGTAGAAAGTTGACGCCTGCACAAGTCATGCCTCATCGATTATCATAGAAAGAAGAGTGCGTGATTGTATATAGCCAAATATTAATGTAAATAGTGATTTTTTCCACTAGAGAATGTAGAGAGAGGTGTTTGAAGTATTTATAGTATAAGTGTTTTTGAGAAGAAAAGACAAATATATATATAATTGTAAAGATATAATAAAGAGCGTGCCTTGCTCAGGTATGATAGAACTCATGGGATCAATTCTCTTTTCACTTAGTACATACTTTAAAATTCTAAATAAAATTAGATAACCGATTTGTAGCTCTATCAGTCAACTTCTTGTGTTTCCCAAACAGAATTAAAATGCATTCGTTTGGATCAGAAAAATATTATAGAATGTGATTAATCTTTTATTTATGTTTCCATCAAAACAACCAAGATCTAGGCACTGAACAAACATCTTTCATGAGATTTTCGGCTTAAAACATTATGACGGTTATTAGTGGTCTTAGGTAACAATCTAACTTTTTTTTCTATTTGAGCTTGAGACATGCATTAGCACTATTAGTATAACATATTTCATTTCAAACTTATCACCTTCATAATCCGTTTTAAGTAAAAATAATTACGAAAATATAAAATAAAAGTGACATAAAACATGGTTTTACATTTGCTTTAATTGATTTAGCACAAACCTTCATCTTTTCTTTCTGAGTTTGGGATGATTATTAGTGATTTTTAATATAATATTTTTTTTTTTATAAAATCAGACATAATTTTATGTTGACTATCGATGACTTAATGCAACCCTTCATTAAGTCATTTTCTTTCGAGCTTAAAACAAACATTAGTGGTGTTAGTACAATGTTTTTCATATTAAACTAATTAATATGATTATTATTTTCAGCTTCAGGTGAAACTGATTACCAAAATCTAAAAGAAAATTGGCATAAAAGTAAAACTAACACAAAATAATGTTCAAATACTTGCACTATTTAAAAAAAGAAAATACCGCTAATGTCTGTTAAGTTAGAAGAGAAGGAGGACAAGCTCCATCGTAAAGGGTGCATTACCCCTTCGAATGTTCAGATCAAGAAGCTTGTACCGATGTATATTGCTTATATTTGGTCATGTTGCCATCACAACCCTCATGATCTTCAATTGTCAAGGTAGCATGAAATTCACGGTAAAAAAATAAAAAGAGAGATAGATAACGACATGTTTCATAAAAGAAAGCCACTATTAAGAATGGAATCAAAGAAAAATGCTATCAAAATCGTTATCGTTTACTTGACCCAATTAATAATTTGGCTACTTTTTAAAAAGAGTAATCAATGAATAAAAAAAAACTAAAAATTATTATTATTTATTTTGTTGTGGAAAGTTGATGTCTACGTAAGTCATGCCTCCATCCATTATCATAGAAAGAAGAGAAGTATAACATGACTTATTGTATATAGTCAAATAATAATGTAAATGGTGGTTTTTTCCATGGAGGATGTAGAGATGTATAATGAATGGTGTTTGAAGTATTTGTAGTATAACCTTTTGAGAAAAGATAAATAAATAATTTTAAAGATATAATAAAGAGTGTGCGTATGATAGAACTCATGAGATCAATTCTCTTTTCACCTAGCTATATACGTTAAAATTCTAAATAAAATTAGCTGACCAATTTGTAGCTCTATCATATCATGAATCAACTTCTTGTGTTTCCCAACTGAATTAAAATGCATTCGTTTGGGTCAGAGAAATATTATAGAATATGATTAATCTTCTATTTATGTTTTTATCAAAACAACCAAGATTTAGGCTTTGAACATTGTAACATCTTTCATGAGATTTTCGACTTAAAACATTAGGACGCTTACAAGCGATCTTAGGTAACTCTTCAATTTTTTAATTTGAGCTTGTGACATGCATTAGCACTATTAGTATAATACATTTCATTTCAAACTTAGCATCATCATCATCGAAGTTAAAATAAAAAATAAAAATCTAAAAGGAAAGTGACATAAAACAAAAATCTTCTAGTTTCTAATCTCTTGAATGTCGTTTTGTTTGAGAGGCTCTTTCACGGATCCTGATGGAATGGATACTTAGAATACCTATTTCTAAACCTCCTAAACCCGGCAGCTCTCGTATGTATATAAAAGCTCACATTTGCCTAACGCATGCGTGAGTGCCCCATTAGAGGAGAAAGTTGTCATGAGGGATCTCCTGGATGAGGCTGAATCGTTCCACACGAATATCTGTCCAACAAAATTGTCACTAGTCAAAGTCAAGTAATACGAAAATAAGTCAATGTCCAAAACAAATTGGAAACTCACTCATGGTAGAGGCTTTTTCATTGCTTAATTTTCACCGCAAGCGTCGCATTCCGGATCGTAACCAAGCTTTGACCGCAGATATAGGCATCCAACAATATGATAGGGGTTTGATGGTGGAAATCAAAAGCTCTCATTCTCTTCAATTGTCAATGTAGCATGAAATTCACGGTAAAAAAAAGAAAAAGAGAGAAAGAGAGAGATAGATAACGATGTTTCATAAAAGAAAGCCACGATTAAGAATGGAATCAAAGAAAAATGCTATCAAAATCATTATCGTTTACTTGACCCAATTAATAATTTGGCTACTTTTTAAAAAGAGTAATCAACGAATAAAAAAATCATTAAAAATCATTCTAATTGACTTTACCCCATAATAATTTGGTTACTTTTTGAAAAGAGTAACCAATGAATAAAAAAATAACTAAAAATTATTATTATTTATTTTGTTTAATCTTTGAAAGGAGTGGAAAGTTGATGTCTACATAAGTTATGCCTCATCCATTATCATAGAAAGAAGAGTACATCATGACTGACTTGATTGTATATAGCCAAATAATAATGTAAATGGTGGTTTTTTCCACATAGGATATAGAGACATTTGAAGTATTTGTAGTATAATTTTTTGAGAAAAGACAAATAAATAATTTTAAAGATATAATAAAGAGTGTTGAACTCATGAGGTCAATTCTCTTTTCACCTAGCTATATTACTTTAAAATTCTAAATAAAATTAGCTAACCAATTTGTAGCTGTATCATATCATCAATCAACTTCTTGTGTTTCCCAACTGAATTAAAATGCATTCATTTGGACTAGAGCAATATTATAGAATATGATTAATTTTTTATTTATGTTTTCATCAAAACAATCAAGATTTAGGCCCTGAACATTGTAACATTTTTCAATGAGATTTACAACTTAAAACATTAGGACGGTTATAAGCGACCTTAGGTTAACTCTTCAATTTTTTTATTTGAGCTTGGGACTTGCATTAGCACTATTAGTATAATACATTTCATTTCAAACTTAGCATCATCATCATCATCATCATCATCATCCATTTTAAGTAAAAAAAAAAAAAAATCTAAAAGAAAAGTGACATAAAACATGGTTGGTTTTACATTTGCTTTAATTGATTTAGCACAAACCTTCATCTTTTCTTCTAAGTCTGGAATGATTATTAGTGATTTTAATATAATATTTTTTATAAAATCTGACATCATCGATGATTTAATGCAACCCTTCAAAATTTTCTTTCGAACTTAGAACAAACATTAGTGGTGTTAGTACAATGTTTTTCATATCAAACTAATTATTACGATTATTATTTTCGGCTTTAGGTAAAGCTGATTACCAAAATCTAAAAGAAAAGTGGCATAAAGTAAAACTAACTCAAAATAATGTTCGAATACTTACACCATCTGAAAAAAGAAAGTCTGTTAAGTTAGAAGAAAAGGAGGACAAGCTTATATTTGGTTAGAATGTTCAGGGTGCATTACCCCTTAGACTGTTCAGATCAAGAAGCTTGTACCGTTGTATATTGCTTATATTTGGTTAGGTTGCCATCACATTGGAAGGTTCGAGGCATGGGGCATATGAATTCGATCCATCTCTTTGCCAAGTTGGTACATGATGTGTCACCGTAGCTAAGTACCCGAATCTGTTCTGTAACATGTTATCTAATCTGTGAAATAGCTTATAACGATATCTTATTTCTACAAATTTTGAGCTCTAATCTTGTTCAGACTCTGGAAGGTTATACAAATGCAGACTGATGAGTCCAATCTTGAAATCGAATCCGATAAAACACGAGCCCGTACCTCACGGTCGAATCATGAAAAGCCCAAATGATCTGTTAGATTGAATTCCGGCCCAAACGGGCGAGGAACATCGAGCGAACCCACATTGGTCTCCAGAAACCCCGTCGAAGCTGTCGCCGCCGATGAGAGGGCCGCTGTCCCAGCTCCTCCTCCTCCTCATCTACGTGATCTTTTCTTCGTTGTTGCTCTCGTCTTCTTTGGAGTCTGTCGCCGGTACCGGAGGCGACGTGAGCAGCAGCAGGAGCTCCGGTGCGAGATTGGAATGGAAATTCCTTACCAAGAGAAATTTCTCTTCTTAGATCCGTCTCCATCCCCAGATCCTCCTCATGGTTACCGTCCCTTGTACGCCGCTTCCCTTTCTTAATTATCCTTTTCTCTTGATGCTCGCATATTGCTAGATCGATCAAGAATATGGATTTTAGGTGAATCACGAGGTCCATATCAATCTTGATTACTGGTAATTTGAGAATGTGTTTTCTTTTCTTTATTTACCTTTTCTTAAAGCTCGCGTACCGTTAGATCGATCAATAAGATGGTTTTTAGGTGCATTATGAAGTGTATTCCATTCTTGATTACCGGTACTTTGAAAAAGGTGTTTTCTGTTTTTTTCGATCAAGGGTTTGCTGGAACTAATTTTGTTCTGGTTATCATTCATCTCTTCTTGATGTTTGATCGTATTGCTTCGATTATTCCCATTCAAACCGTTTCACATATGATAGTAGAAACTTTTTCTTGGGGATGAGTCACGGCAGTCGAAGGATCTTCGACGTTTTGTTCCTCTAGGATTTGGATTGCTTTGTTCGTAAGATTTTCCTTATTATATTCGATGATTAGAAGACTGCGACTTTCTTTTTCCCTGCCATGGGCCTTAAATGCATATTCCATGTTTGTTGTAAAATTATACTTTTCTGGCACCTTACGACATGCATTATTATGCAGCTTGGAATTCTGTTCACATGAATCATTGTATCGAAAGGGAAGCAGAGAGGGCTTTACCACTGTGAAATGTAATTGGTTAGTTGGTTGTCGACAGGCAGTTTAAGATACATCCTTGTGCTTTCTTTGGTCGGTCTCAGCAATTCTGCTCCAACAGAGCAACGAGTTTGACTTATGTTGTTGAGACTAAAACTTATCTGGTAAGAATATTCTTAATAGTCATCTGCCCTTGCTTCTTTAGTAGTAGACGTTGAGATAAACAATTAAAATTCAATAGATGAAAATTCCTTTTTAAAATGGGATGAAAGTTATTTATGTGGTTCTACCTTGATAAGAATATATGTGAGCAGAAATGTATGTTGTGATTTCATAGCAGTGAACCTTATGAGCAAATTTCATTTTATTTTCTCTTTGGCAAGGGTTTCTTTTTTTTTTTAAGAGTAAGCGACAAAGGTGGTATTTGAGTCCAAGACCTTACGATAAACTATCAATGTACCAGCTAAGCTAGTCTTTGGCTAGGTTAATGTCGATAAGAAGATTAGTATTTATATTCTTTGGTATCAGAGCTTGTCTACTTTTGGCCCCTCTTATCAAATTTAACATGTTGCTTTTTGCCTAAACTAAGACTTCATAGGATCTCCGGCTCTTGATGTCCTAATACGTTCTTCTTTAAGCCTTTCCTCTTGAACAGTGTGTGTGAATGTGCATGCCTCGTGTGACCATGTGTATGTATGTGTATGTGTCTATGAATGTATGATGTGCACTTGATACCATCCATTTCCTATTTTGCAAATTGTTTCAATATGACATGTGGTGATTAATGGTTGGTAAATTTATGAAGTGTGCATCATGTTAACATTGCTTAAATTAATGATAATTTTATCTCCATGAAATTACTGATTCTCCTTGTTGCAACTGTGTGACTTCCTGTTCATCATTGTTTTCAAATCGCTTAAACGTTACTTAAACATTGAGGAAATCTTCAATTTTTGTCTTGTGGTTGATCTTTTGGTTTCTAATCGCGTGAATGTTGTTTTGTTTGAGCGGCTCTTCCACGGTTCCCTAGTTGAACGAATATTTAGAATGCATATTCTTAGAGCTCTTGATGAGGACACTTGGATATGACAATCCAATCCCCTAGGCTTGTTGTCTACTATTGATTTCTATCGGTATATCAAATCAGATTCTAAGGAGGAGGTTTGGCAGGGCTAGAAGGAGATATGGCTCCTTCCTATCTCTCCTAAAGTTAAAACTCTTTCTATGGAAACTCTCCTGGAACCGATTACCCATCTCTGACCTCTTTGCACATATTCTACGCCACCAGCAAGATAATTGCTTTGTATGTCACCTTTCGGTAGATACCTCCCCACATATTCTCCTACAATGTTCTTCAGCCCTCTCTTTTTGGAATCTGCTCCAGGCCAAATTGAAATTTGTTTCAAGTTCTTTGACGCATGGGCTTATCTTGGCTTCACGAGGGAGATGGTCATGACAAACAAATCTCTAGAACGATCTTAAGTCTCATTTCCTATTCTTTTTGTTGTCTTTGGCTTGATAGGAATGAGGTCAGATTCCATAATTGTCGTGCCAAACCTCCTACCGTAGTCTCCAGGGTGATTGCCCTCATCAATGAAATCGCTGAATCATATCCTTCGCCTGAGAAAACTAGGAATATATGCACTATGTATCCTCGACCAGGTAATGGGATCTACAGCTACATATTACAATGTGACAAATCTTTTACTTCACTTCGAATTTTCTGCAGGAACCAGATTTATCTTCCTCTTTGCTGCAAACTCATCGCTAGCTGTGGGCCGATCGAATCCCCTAATGGCAGAGGCTCTCGTTGTCCTGGAGGCGCTGAAACACACAGAGGCACTGCAGTGGCACCACCCCTGGATCCAAACTGACTCCCAATCACTAATATCTATTGTTAACAGTGCCAAGGAAATCCCTTGGTTCCTTTGTCATTATTTCTGATGTAAAGTTTTTTATGGCCAAACATCACATCATTGCTCACAGTTTTATCTCTAAGGCTCTCAACAGCAAAGCTCATCAGCTTGTTGCTTTTCTAAGGAACCAATGGGTTTTCATGTTTTTATAAAGTGGGTGATTCTGATATATCATCCAATCCTCTTGTTATCTTTCTTTAATTTCGATGAAAGTTGTTACTGTTAAAAAAAAAAAATCAATTCTCTGGATCCGAACCCAAGGGGTGAAACTTTTGACTATATTATGTAATGTGATGGTTCATTCCTTTTTACTGAACTTACCGTAGGTATTGGGTTTTGCTTCCTCTCGACTTCCAACTCCACCATTGCTGCTGTGGGCAGCTTCACCATGCTCAAGAACTATAAATAACCAGCCTAAGGATTCAATCGGACTCTCAATCACTCATCTCGATCATTGAATCAATGGAACCAAGGAACCCCCTTGGCATCTTACAAGCGCACAATCCATTGATGAAAGGGCTCCACCATGCTCAAGAACTATAAATAACCAGCCTAAGGATTCAATCGGACTCTCAATCACTCATCTCGATCATTGAATCAATGGAACCAAGGAACCCCCTTGGCATCTTATACCCATAACTGCTGAGATTAAGTTGAGGATGGACGAATTACTCAAATAAATACCAGCGCATTTATTGAACACCGTAAACACTGCTGCTTGAAAAAAAAGCCAGCGCATAAACCATAGGCAGAGAACTCATATTTTGATGACAAACAAACTACACAGACAAAAATCAACAGATCATATAACAGTCATTATAACATGCATAAAAATGAGAAATTAAAATCATGTGACGGTGTTTTCTGATAAGAACATGCAAACCATGAGCGTACTACATACTGATCATACTGATCGATACTGCTATTGATTAAGTTGGGATGAGTCATGTCGACCCTCTCCAACAACAGAGTTATCATAGTTTCCTTTTGTATTTTGCCATGGTCACTACCATCATCACGTATAGCTTGTCAAACATGTTATCAATGGCGTGGAAGTATGCGATCCTCCATGTCCGTAACAACAAAAGGCTTCCACAAATCGTCCAAAATCCGATAATAAATCCTAATGTGATGCTTGTGTATAACCAAATTGTTTCAATTCTATTCTTGGAAGAATCATCATTTTGCTCTTCTTCATCAGTCTTCACTATATCCACTGTACAATTTTTGGGGAGAGGAGGGCCACAAAGATTTGGATTGCCAGCATAAACGGATGGATCAGTAAAAGTTTGCAACTGGTTACCGGTGGGAATCCTTCCTGAAAGATTATTATATGATAAATTCAATTGGTTCAAAAAATTCAAGGCCGCCAAACCAGAAGGAATTTCACCCGAGAGATTATTTCTTGATAGATCAAGAACTTCTAGTTGTTTCATTCCGTCAATGCTTCTTGGTATCTGACCTATAAGGTAATTTCTGGATAGATTTAAGCTCCGCAATCCATGCAAATTCCCCAACTCTTCAGGGATGTTTCCAGATAAGTTATTGTTGGAGAGATCAATAAGTGCATCAATTGAAAGTTGACTGGTGGTATACTTGAATTCACTTCCTTTTATAAATAGCCACATATCATCTTCATAGACTCGACCGTCGTTGAAGTAACAACAATGATACGTAGGAGTGCTTCTTAGCGCACTGAAGTTCCCAAAGCTCTGTGGTATCGTTCCTGAAAGATTGTTGTTGGAGAGATCCAGGATGCGAAGAGATGATAGAGAAGATAATTGAGGAATTCTACCGTTGAAGGCATTCGAGCGTAAGCTAAGTGTCTTCAGGGACAATAGGCTTTCTCCGATCCAAGTTGGTATGTTCCCGATAAAGTTGTTGTGGCCCAAGTCGAGAGTAGATAGTTCTGTGCAACTCTTTAAACAATGAGGAATCGGCCCGGATAAATTATTGTGACTCAAGTGCAGTGACTCTAGCGTTTGCAAATTACAGAGCGAATCAGGGACTCCACCGACTAATTTATTGCTTGATAAGTCTAAAAGAAGTAAATTTGAGGAATTTTTCCAGCAATTAGGAACCTCTCCTGACAAATTATTTTCAGAAAGCTGAAGCCCTTCCAAATTCCTCAATTGACAATAAGAAAAGGGAATCTCACCACTCATATTATTCGTAGATAGATCAAACCATTGTAAGCTTGACATGATATTTGTGATTCTTAGTGAAAGATTCCCTGAGAATGAGTTATTTGAAAGAAATAAATATTTTAATTTTGGAAGGAATTGTGGTATCTCACCAGTAATCTTGTTATCGGATAGATCCAAATATTGGAGACCGGATGGAAGCCAATTGGGAATCGTTTCTTTGATCCCTGTATTTGATAAATATAATTCACTAAGAGTGGTTTGTGTTCGGAGCCATTTCGGAAATTGGGGTATGGGCAGTATTTGGCAGAATCCCATCAAAAGGGTGTCAAGCTGAAAGGGAGGGATCCAATCATCGCTTTTGTTCAAGTATATAGAGTTGTATGAAATGACCAAATATTTCAAACTTGGTAGATTAGCAAGGTCGTCCTCCGATAATCTCAATGAGTTATCGTAGAGATCCAATTGGACGAGGCCCTTCAACCATTTGATGCCTTCCGGAAGCATCCCCTTCAAATTGTTGGATCCTAAATCCAAAGATTGCAGCATAGAGAGGTTTCCAAGAGATACAAGTTGTGATTCATGGAGAGAGTTATAAGAAAGATCCAATTGCTCAAGACTAGAAGGATGCCCATCGAGAATCATGTCTTTTACTCCTGCAAGTGAAAATATAAAACATGAAGGGATATTTGTGTTTGGAGCCATTTTTAAAATTGGAGTATTTCAAAAAGAAAAAATAAAGAGCTTGAACCGATAGATAAATCAAACGATAGTAAGTTTGGCATTGTGTTTGAGATTCTTGGATGAAAATGCCCTAAGAAAAAGTTTTTTGAGAGAAATAAATATCTAGAAAGAACTCATCTCACCAGTAATCTTGTTGTTGGAGAGATACAAATATTTGAGTCTTGGCATCATGTTTAATATTTTCGGAGGAAGATGTCCTGATAAAGAATTATTTCTGAGATCCAACATAATTAGATTTGGAAAATATTGTTGTGCATCATAAGTGATCTCATTATTGGAGAGATCCAAATACTCAAGACTAGAAGGAAGCCTATCGAAAAACATGTCTTTGATACCTGCACTTGACAAATATAGTTGACGAAGAGTGGTCTGTGTTCGGAGCCAATTTGGAAATTGGGGCGTCGGCCCTATTTGGCAGAAATCCATGAAGAGACTTTGAAGCTGAAAAGAAGGGATCCAGTCATCGGCTTTGTTCAATTCAATGAAGTTGTAAGAAATGTCCAAATATTTCAAACTCGATAGATTAGCAAGGTCGTCCTCCGATAAGCTCAACGAGTTATTGGAGAGATCCAAATCAACAAGGCTCTTCAGTTGTCCGATGCCTTTCGAAATCGTCCCCTTCAACTCATTGGAATATAAATACAAATGTTGCAGCGATGATAGATTCCCGATAGATGCAGGCACTGATCCATAGATAGAGTTGAAAGAAAGATCAAGAGATTTAAGATTCTTGATGTTCCCTAACCAATCCGGAAAGGAACCATTCAGTTGGGTGCCTCCGAGGTACAATTCCTCCATGCTATTCCTAAGACATCCAGAGAAAACCATTTTTAAATTGGCAAGCACATCGTTAATAGGCACATAGCTTAGATCGAGAATTTGGAGCTTGCAGAGGTTGGATATAGGAGCTAATCGCATGAAGCCATCTTGGAACACACTCCCAGACAAGTCGAGTGCCCTGAGAGATGTCAACTTCGCAATAGAATTAGGAAAGAATCCATAGAGGTCATTCCCACCAAGATAAAGGAACTCGAGGCTAGTAATATTGAACACCCAATCTGGTATGGTGGAGTTTATATCATTACCTCGTAAATCAAGAGTGATGAGAAATGTGAAGTTTATATGAGACAACGAACGAGGAAAGGTCCCTAAGTCACAAGAACTTAATTCAATCTCTTGAACACGTGGTAGCACGTTCAAATCTTGCAACCAGTTGGATGCATTTGTCAAATTGACCCAATTCATGTTAAGGTGCCGAAGGGAAGTGAGCATAGAGATCCATCTCGTGTTCTCAAGGTACAAGCAGAAGAAGCCATCACCTTCATCATCCCCATAGCAGTTATAAGAAAGGTCGAGGTGCTGCAAAGTGGATAGATTTCCGAGCTGGTCAGGTACTCTACCCACGAATCCTGCACCTGAGAGGTTAAGATATGTTAGTCTTCTGAAAGCTCCAAAGAACTTGGGGATGGGTTTATGCGTAAAACAGTTGCCGCTGAGGTCCAGGTGATTAAGTTGTTGGAGAGAACGCAGTGATGGAGTTATGTCACCACGCACTGCCCATTTGCATCCTGGATCATCATCCAACAATTCGGATCTTAGATAATAATCCAACAAGTAGTACACCTCCTGATGAGCGCAGTCGTCAGTTAGATACGTCCGGCGTCT